TTGTATTCTTCATATCATAATTAACGTAAATGATTTTCCTACTGTTCTCCATACACAGTTTGATTTGTGTTTCATCTTTCCATAAAACTTAAACAACATTTTTGACATCCCCTGCAGATATACAATTACCAGGGTGTCTTTAATGAAGACTACAACATAGCAAATACACCAGCACCTAATGGTAAATGTTGTTAAGGATGTCTTCATGGTTGTGACTATTTTATCATAAGGATTAAATTTTATTAACGTTAGAGAAAAACCCTGAAGGAAATGTTTAAATTCAATTTTAGTTTTTAATTTTCGTGTGCAAGTACTTTGGTTTGGTCTCTAAATTTTCATAAGTTTGTTTTGGCCATTCTCGTTCAATTTTTTGCTTTGCCTTTAATATGTAATGTTTCATGAGCTTGCTGGGTATCTGTCATGTAATGTGTTACCAAAATTAAGCGATTGAACTTATGTATTTCAAGGATCATATTCGAACATTTGAAAGGGAAAAAAGAAAAAAAAGGTAGAACAAGGATGAAAGGTGAAAGGATTTAAAGCTGAAACAAAAAATCTCTTTAATTTTAATATGGGCCTGTTATGTTTACTTGACAGATCCACCAGCTGGCACTCCTGCTGTAGTCACCCAGGATGATGTTGGGGAGGAGGAGGAGGATGACGAGCCTTCATTGAACGAAGACGACGACGACGACGATTTGGATGATGTGGATCAGGGAGAGGAAGTGAGCACACAGCATTTAGTTTTAGCTCAGTTTGATAAGGTACTTTCTTTACTTCATGGTTGGTAGGTGCAGTTGCAGTACATGCTAGAGCCTTTCAGGATCCATCGTGCCATACGCGCGCGCACACACACAGTTCATATTTTTAGAATATAACGCACCTAATACTTGCCATATCATAATTTCAACGTCCTAGGTTACTCGTACGAAGAGTAGGTGGAAATGTACACTCAAGGATGGAATTATGCACATTAACAACAAGGACATTCTCTTCAACAAGGTGAAGTTTCCCCTCCAAAACTATAAGTTCGATAGATATTAACCGAATTCGGTTTTCATGGAAGCTTGGTTTGTTTGTTTGGCAGGCAACTGGGGAATTCGACTTCTGAATTTTAGTAGAGGCATCATCTTCAATGTGCGGTTATTTATAGCAGTTTTTTTTTTTTTTTTTTTTGAAAGATTTCCAGGAAGTTCGTTCATTGGATGCTTAAAAAGTTGTGTTAAGTTAATATTTGTTTTGTGAACGCAGGAGGTAAAAGGACATGTTGATGATTCCTTGTGTGTATTTTGATAAATGTTATTAGTAACGTATGTTTTGTATATAACGAATGAGAACTCTATCGGCCTTCAATGCATGGCAACTTGAGGATTTTCCAGAAATTTTATCATTGCACTAATGGAATATATCATTGCTCTTGGACCCCTTTTTTACGTGATTCGCTAGGAGATATTGTCTTCTTTGAATTTTTTGGGTTCCTCTCAACGTTTTAGCGTTTGCTAGGAAGACGTTTCCACACCCTTATAAAGAATCCTTCAACGTTTTTTTAAAATGCATACCTTTATAAAGAATCCTTCGTTCTACTCTCCAATCGATGCGAAATATCACATTTTCACTTTATAATTCTTCACACGGTTTCTCCTCAACTAGAGGGTTCGTTCTCCTACCCAATCGATGTTCGTTCTCCTACCCAATTGATGTGGGATCTCATATTTTTACTCTATAATCCTTCTCGTTCTCCTCCCTAGGTTCCTCTTCAACCGATGGAATCTTCTCCTCCCTAGGTTCCTCCTCAACCGATGGAATCTCACATTTTCACCCAACACTATGGCGTGAGGGTAATAATTCCATATTGATTCGAACCAATCCATCACATTTTCACCCAACACTATGGCGTGAGGGTAATAATTCCATATTGATTCGAACCAATCCATATGCGAAGCATACAAGCACTGTAATGTGCCTCTTCGTGGGTATCTGGTAACCATGTATAGGATCCGATTGATTAGCCGATGTTTCAAAATTTAATAGATTCTGATTCTATTTGCCGATATTTCAAAATTTAACCGGTTCTCACTCGTTGATCAGTTAAAGAGTTCTAATCACACTTAGTTCCTCAACTGGAACCTTGTTCCTCAATTAGAGGGTTCTAATGTAAGTAATGAAGTAGTGAGTTTAATGCTTAATGATTCACCTCGTATGATTCATCGTTGTTTAGAATGATCTTCGTTATACTTACAAAGTCATTCCATTCAAGTTTTCAATCTTGTTTATCGACAATTGGAGAAAGCAACAAAATTGGATGAACCAGATACACAGATTGTTTGTGAGTGCCTTATTGTGTGATCTGATTTGAGAATCTTGAGCAGCATAACGTTCAATGGCGAAATCGGATTCATGATGGAGACTTGAAAGTAGAGAACAAATTACAAGAAATGACCGAGAGAAATGAGTTGAACAGGAACGAAGTGGAAACGAAGCGGCTGTTAGATTAGGAGCAGGAAGTGTGAGAGATTTCCCGCGTTACAATTTATCAATAATACAACATGAAACCAGAAGCATTCGTGGAGATCTTAATCCAAGCGGCGACACACACACACACACACACACACACACACACATACTGTACATGGATTTACGTAGAGCATAAACCGCGAGACTCGATCCAGCCATCATCTTCTCACGGCGTGCTACTGGTTATGATGCACTTCGATTGAAAGAAAGTAAACAGAGTGGAAGGATCGGCGTATGTCGCAGCCACCGCCGGATGTTGCCAGCCACCAGGAGATGCGAAAACTATACCTCTTTGATCGCCATTTCCGCCGCTGTTTACACCATTTCCGTTCGCCAACATTCTATTTCCCTCAGTATCAGGAAAAGGCTGTGGCGACGAAGGGAGCGGCGAAAGCAGAGGAAGAACCGTCTTCGAATAAGTTTCGGTACCAACAGAAGGCATTGAGACACTCGAAAGCTGATCGAGATAAAGACCGGCCGGCGCCTGCTTCTGCAACCTGGTCGGAGGTTTAGGTATTCTGCCTCCGCGGTCGTTGTCCATTGCTGCTCTGAGGAAATCAACGACAGCAGATTGATTTGCATTCATTGGAAGAGAAATATAGGGCACAAAGAAGATCGTTGGTTATGAAGGTGAATGGTCAGAAATCCTGAATCCAAATTCCATTTCATAATGTTGAGAACGGCTGGTAAAATGTAACGATCATTAGGTACGCTTTTAACCCTCTGTCTTTATTTAGCAATTCTTCTGAACGTTTTTAGGGTTTCAACCAATTACTTTTTCCATTCCTGAAGAACAGGATCATGAGTTTAAGCCCTTCAATGCTGGCCTTTGAACTGAAACATCCCTCTTTTTAATACTTTTTACCAAAAAAATAGCAAATTAAAGATAAGAAAAGTATTGCATTTTCTTCTTTTTCTTTATTTTCTTGAATCTGTTACTTTCCATTAAGGTAGGGGCACACCAAAACTTGCTGCAAAATTAATTTGGCTTCCATATATGCAAATTTGTTCCAAGAAAAAATATTTGCAACTAGGATGCATTTTTTGGGTACTTTTTTCTGCCTATGGAGATATTTTAATGCAATTGTCTGTTGACTACTTTATATCTATCTCACTTATATAAAACAAGAACGGCTATATTGTCCTTTTGAGCTTTCTCTCTCGGGCTTCTGTCTTTAAAACGTGTTTGCTAGGAGAGGTTTCCACCCCCTGTAAAGAATGTTTTGTTCTCCTCTCTAATCGATGTGGGTCCCCTCAATCTCCACCCCCTTCAAGGTCCAGCGTCCTTGCTAGCATATCGCCCGGTGTCTGACTTTGATACTAAATAGCCAAGTCCACTGCAAGCACATATTGTTCTGTTTGTGATTTCCCTTTTGGGCTTCAAGTTTTTAAGACCTGTCTGCTCGGGAGAGTTTCACACCCTATACATAATGCTTCGTTTTCTCTTCAATCGATGACCTCTCACAAACAACTTTCCCATACATGTCGCCCAATCATGAGGCCTCATAATTTCTGTCATCATTGTGGTATATTGGCCACTGGCGTTGGTGATCCAACAGCTATGTACAGAATTATGGGCCGATGATCAGTCTGGCTCGTAGTTTCATTCCTCTCCTTACCCACTTTGTACAAGTGGATGGAGAATTATCATTCAGTGCCACAGCCATCTGTTCATATGAGACATCGTAGCTTTGGGATTTTCCAAGCAACTTTCCCTAAATTCATCCTCTCTTCTTTCTGATTTCATTTTCTCCTTTATCTGTTCTTTTTCTGCTGAGGGGGTTAGCTGGGATTCTTTCTTCTTACCCGTTTCTAGTTATCTCCATCATATCCTCCTGACTAATGAACTGTAATCTCCATGAAAAACAAGAACTAATTATGCAGTAATTGGACTACGTTTTTGCTGGTTTCCAACTTTCAATTACTTGGCTTTGAGCTAAATCTGTAACTGATGCAGGGGGTTTTAGTTTTATGGCAATGAATCCGTAAAGAATTGACCAAAAACACAGTTCCCTACAAAGTCGTATAGAAATCCATCCCAAGAACCCTAGTAAACTCTCAATCAAGAGAAAACACTCATAACTTCAATGATGGGAAGTTTCAAAGATTTACAGCCTTACAAGAATAATGGAAAATAGGGTTAAATCCTAATTACTAATTGACATAGTAATTAACTCAAGTTCACAATTTAGCTAAATTATTTAACTAAATAAAACTAAACTAACTCATATTTTCTTCCTACATGAGTAACTATTTAAGTATCTCCAAGGGATAAAGAGATAAGGAGTGCTTGTATGTGGCACATCGAGTCCCCCGATTTTTGTTCATATTTTTGTTTTATCTGGCACAGGGCTTTTTAGATAACTCTGAATTATTCATGGGTTTTTGCTTAGTGGAACGGGCCATATTGTATGGAGAAAGTTTGTGGATTCAGTATTATGTAGAAGCGAAAATATAAGAGCTCTGTTTTTTGTTTTTTATTTTCACATCCGCTTTTTACGTGGTGCAGATGGAAGCTCAAATCCCAACCTCAACGGTCGCTTTAGATTAAGCAGATTTGAGAATCATGTTTTGTTAGTAATTTTACTGAACGGTCGCCTTTGTTTGCCACGTGTGTGGTTGTGAATGCCTAAAGTCTCTCAAGAGTTCATCAATTTCAAAGAGCTCGAGATGATTCACTTGATTGTTCATCTATTTTGAGAGGAGGGTACAAGGTTGCTGCTAGAATTTCACTTCTTCACACCCTCCTAAGCCCTTAGTTCCATGGCTGCCACGGTTTCAACCATTGGAGCTGTTAATAGAACAACGGTACTGTTTCTTCCCGCCAAGTCTTTTGTGTTATTTGACGGAGATTACCAATTTATTTAACAATTTCTTCTTTTTTTCTCTCTGGGTTTCATCTTTCAATCTTGAATCTCATGTTATATGCAGTTAAACAACAGTAACTATGGAGGTTTAGTGCCGAACTCAGCGTTCTTGGGCAGCAGGTTGAAGGTCAGTTCCAAATCCACCACCTCAAAAATGGTGATTGGAAACTTCAAGATTGTTGCTGAGTATAATGAGGAGAAGCAAACCGAGAAGGACAAATGGCGAGGCCTTGCTTTTGATACTTCTGATGACCAGCAAGACATTACCAGAGGGAAGGGATTGGCGGATCCCCTTTTCCAAGCTCCCATGGGGACAGGAACTCACAATGCTGTCTTGAGTTCATATGAATACGTTAGTGCTGGACTTCGACAGTAAGTGTTCAAATAGAATTTTGCAGTTTGTTTGAACATTCTTATGCGAGCTTACTTGAAGTATTACAATGTTTCAGATACAACTTCGACAATAATATGGATGGATTTTACATAGCTCCAGCTTTCATGGACAAACTTATGGTTCACATTGTCAAAAACTTCATGAACCTGCCAAACATTAAGGTTAAAAATACAGCTCGATGTTCGACACACGATATAGTTCGTCCATGTTTGTCTTTCAGTGCTAACTGCTAACCTTCTTGGATGCATTTTAGGTTCCTCTCATTCTGGGTATTTGGGGAGGTAAAGGACAAGGAAAATCTTTTCAGTGTGAACTTGTATTTGCCAAGATGGGAATCAAGTAAGTTCAAAACCCAGCTAGTTCTGAGGAAGTTGTTTGGAGGGCCAACTGAACAACTGAACTAAGTATATTGTGAACAACTGAACTAAGTTCAAAACTCAGCGAGGACACTGACACTCGTTCCCCTCTCCAATCGATGTGGGATCTCACAGGTTTGGTAAAGATGATGACAAGAGGTTAGATTTGGTTGATTTGGTTGAGATGGTCTTCTGGATTTGGTATTTTGTTCGAAAGAAACACTTAAGGATCGAGTTTAATGCATACTACATTGTATTAGGGTATTTGAGCTCGATGACAAGGGTGAGTTTCAGATGACTTTTGAGAGAGCTTTGGGAGTGCTCTATCGAAAAGAGTGATTATAGAAAGACTTATTGTGACTAGAAAACACCTAAACTCACACTGCAAATTCTAAGATCATCCAGACTTAGTTCAGTTGGCCCTACAAATCTCTGAACATATTTCTTCTTCTCACTGATATATTGTTGGTCTTAATTTTGTTTAGTTATGATGAAATTTCAGCCCTATTATGATGAGTGCTGGGGAATTAGAAAGTGGGAATGCAGGAGAGCCAGCAAAATTGATCAGGCAAAGATACAGAGAGGCGGCTGATATTATCAAGAAAGGGAAGATGAGTTGCCTATTTATCAACGATCTTGATGCTGGAGCTGGAAGGTTTGGTGGAGCCACACAGTACACAGTGAATAACCAGATGGTAAATGCTACTCTTATGAACATTGCTGACAACCCAACCAATGTGCAGCTACCAGGCTTATACAACAAAGAAGAAAATCCCAGAGTTCCCATCATAGTAACTGGTAATGACTTCTCAACTTTATATGCACCCCTCATTCGTGATGGTCGCATGGACAAATTCTATTGGGCTCCAACTCGTGAAGATCGTATCGGTATTTGCACTGGAATCTTTAGGACTGACGGTGTACCGACAGAGGACATTGTCAAACTCGTCGACACCTTCCCGGGGCAGTCGATCGGTAAGCCTCACTAACTTGGTTCAGCTGAAATAGAACATTTCTGAACGGAAGAAGAATATTGACTTGCATAAACCAATCATTTTGCAGACTTCTTTGGTGCTTTGAGAGCTCGAGTTTATGACAATGAAGTGAGAAAGTGGGCTGCCGGTGTTGGAGTTGAGAGCATTGGAAAAAATCTTGTAAACTCAAAGGAAGGCCCCCCAACTTTTAATCAACCAAAGATGACACTAGAAAAGCTACTAGGATATGGCAACATGCTCATCATGGAACAGGAGAACGTGAAGAGGGTTAAATTGGCTGACAAGTATTTGAAAGAAGCTGCTCTTGGAGATGCAAATGAGGACGTTGTTCAGTTTGAAACTTCTCAGGGTAAGCAACTTTTACATTCAAACTCGTTTCTCCATAATTTGTTTTTTGATTGTTCTTTTTACAATTTTGAAGAAGTTGTTCTTGAAGATGCAACTGAAAATGTTGTTCAGTCAGAGACTTCTAATGGTAAGCAACTCTTGAATCCAAAGTCATGTCTGGATCCTTTGTTTCTTGAAATTGAATCTAAACTCATTTCTCTTTAATCTGCATATTTTTTGTTTTTTCAATGTTAAAGAAGCTGCTCTTGTGAATGCAAATGAAGATACTGTTGAGGTTCTTAAAGATACAAATGAGGATGTTGCTCAGTCAGGAACTTCTTATGGTTGGAAACTTCTACATTCAAAGTCATGTCTTGATCATTTGGTTTCTGAAATTTAATCTTACATTAACTATTCTTCTTTCAATCTTTAGAAGTTTCTCTTGGAGATGCAAACGAGGATGCTGTTCAGTCAAAAACTTCTTATGGTAAGCCACCATTGATCATCTGCATTATGAAATTTAATCTAAATTAAATTTTTTTTTTTGTTCGATTTCAAAGACGTTGCTGTCGAAGATGCAACTGAGGAGGATGTTGTTCAGTCAGGAAACTCTGGTAGGCAAATTTTACATTTAAAATCATATCTTGATTATTGTTCTATGAAAACTAATCTACATTAATCGTTATTTTCTTTCCAATTTACAAGAAGTGGCTCTTATAGATGCAAATGAGGATGTTTTTCAGTCGGGAACTTCTAATGGTAGGCAACTTTTACGTCCAAAATCATCTTGATCATTTGTTGTCTAAATCCTAGCCTAAATTAATTATTCCTTCTTCATTTTAAAAGAAGCTGCTCCTGTAATTGCAAACGAGGATGTTGTTCAGACTGGAACTTCTTATGGTAGGGAAATTTTACAATTAAAGTCTGTCTATATCATTTGTTTTTTTATGTATAATCTTGATTTCTTTTTCAATTTTAAAGAATCAATGGGGGAAGAGGAACGCAACAAGTTAATATCACTGTTCCTGAAGGCTGTACAGATTCATCTGCTAAAGACTATGTCCCAACACTCAGATTCGGCAACAAAAGCTTCCAGCACTGACTCTTAGGAATTTTCTACATGTACTGGTATATATATACAAATGCGTTTTAATGAAGCAAATACTTTTGAGTTGCTTTTTCTCTAGTTATGTAAATCGTTACTGTTATAAAACTTCACTGAAACCGTTGTATCAATTGAATGATAGACAAAATTGGCAGTCATGAAGGTAATTCCAATCCATTTCTTAAGAAACTTCTACATAAGAATTTCTAGCATTTACATCTTTACTGAACGAAACAGTACCTCATTTAATCTTCCAATGCAGGCGATGATTTCAGCAGTAACTTCCTCTGCATTTCTTGTTTGAAACTTGGAAGATTCTTATTCCAACAAAACCATTCTGGAGGAAGGAATGTTTTTCTCTGTGAATTTTTAATATGCTTCAGCTCCAGACGTTCCCTTTTCAGTTTGGAGAAGCTGGAAGGGTGTTCTTTGAGGACCACATTACTGGTTCTTCTCCTTTCTCTTACAAGCAACTATATATATTGATTTGTTCACCAAAATGATGCACAGTCTCCTGGCCAGTAATTTCTCTTTCTGTAGGCTTGGAAATTCTGAAATTTTGGTTCAATTGTTTGAATTTCTACTAATTTTCTTGGTCTTCCAATGTCAAGTCCCCCTTCTCACTAAGCATGGTTTCAGAGCCTTCTCCTGCATACCATAGCCTTATTCTGTGATTTACCTGAACAAAAAATGTGGTAAAGAGAACCAGAGATGGATTTTTTGTGTACTTTTCCTCCTTTAAGATCATGAAGTGAAATCCCCCATGTAGTTGATCTATCACAAATAAGTGAGTTTTGAATGAATACAGAGCTAGGAATCGTGTATATGTCGAATTCTTGACCACACCGTAGGTAACACTCGCAGGCATCGGATGAACCTTGTCCCGGGATCTAAGAGAATACACCTTAGAAATTGATCGTTGGGGAAGTTTAGCCATCAACCCCATTGGAGAAGGGTTTAAACTGTGAACCATTTGCTTCCTAGGAACATAATTTATGCTGAAAATTCTCCTTTTATTGAAGTCACATCCAACTGAAACCTGGGTTTTTCTTGACTCCTCTGTTGGACATTAGCCTCCTTATCCCAGCAGCATCATCCCAATAACCATCTCTCCCCAACACATTTGACAGCATGATGTAAGTAGCCGAGTCATGTGGATATAGTTCCAGAAGCTTTTTTGCAGTCCGAATGGCAATATCTTTATTCCCATGGACTAGGCAAGCACTCAGCAAAGCTTTGTAAATTGATATCCCTGGTTCTATAGGGATGTTTTCAATGAAAGCTTCAGCTTCGTGAAGATTTCCCGCTCGACCAAAAAGGTCGACTACTGTAGCGTAATGCTCCAGTTTTGGAGGTTCAAGCAATCTATTTCTCATCAAGTTGAAATATTCAAGTCCCTTGTCCAGCAAACCAACATGACTACATGCAGTGAGCACAGCAAGGAAGGAGGTATCATCTGGTTTGACTGATGTCCTCCTCATTTGCTCAAACAAGTCAATGACCTCTTCACCACAACCATGGTAAGCACATCCTGAAAGCAATGAATTCCATGATATTAAGTCATGCTCGTTCATCCTCGAGAACACTTTCTTTGAATCCCTGATAGCACCACATCTAGCATACATAGATACGAGACCATTTTGGACGAATAAATTTAGGCCATATCCAGTTTTATACACTAGACCATGAATTTGCTTTCCTTCTTCTAGAGCCGAACCTATCCCTATGGCCCTAAAAATGCTTGTAAATGTGAAAAAGTCTACATCGACATTTTCCCGCCTCATTTGAATGAAACATTCCAAAGCTTCCTCACCTATGCCCAAGTTAGAAAAACCAGCTAGAACAGCATTCCATGAAATCTGATCTGATATTGTAATGTTTGAGCAAACCTTCCTATAGTCTTCCAAGCTACTGCAACATTCTGAATATGCAGTAACAAGGGTAGCAGCTATATAGTTATGACTCTCGAACCCTTGCGCTATTACCCGGCAATGAATTTGCTTGCATTGATCAAAATGATGGGGACATGAAAATGAACTTAGCAAGCTATTATAAGTCATATAATTTGGTTTAAGATCCAGATGCAGCATTTCTCGCATCAAAACCATTGCCTCATGAGGTTGCTGATTCCGAGCATAACCAGTGATCATTGAAGTCCAAGTAAACACGTTTTTATCCGACATTATATCGAACACTCTCCTCGAGTCTTCGAGATTGCAACACTTGGAGTACATGTCAATTAACCCTGTACCCACAACAACATTAGACGAAAACCTTAGTTTCAAACTAACACCATGTAGTTGAGTTCCAAGCTTTCCAGCTTGTAACTGAGAGCAGCCCACAAGAACACCAGATAAACTGAAGGGGGTGGGTTCAATCCCCTGCTTTAGCATCTCTAAAAACCAAGTAATTGCCATTAAAGGACAGCCTGCTTGCAAATAACCAGTAACCAACGAATTCCAAGTGACTACATTTGGACACTGCATTTCATCGAACACCTTCTGGGCATTCGACATGGACCAACATTTACCATACATATCGACAAGAGCACTAGAAATATAAGGATTGAGAGAAAACCCGAGCTTGACAATGGCTGAGTGGACTTGAATTCCCAAGTCCAGAAGGCCGGATTTCGCGCAGGCGGATATGGTTTTACTGAGAATATGAGGGGTCGGAGGAGACCCATTTCGCAGTAATTGAACCAGGAATTGGATGTCGACATTCTCTGATAAATTCTGGTTTTGGCTAACGTTTTGAAGGCTGGGTTGGATGAAATCATCTTCGTAATCCTTGTGACTACAAGAAATCAAAGCTCTGAAACTTACGTGGTTTGATTTCCAGGAGGCCTTGAGAAAATGAGCAGCGCTTCGTAGGGGGCGAGTGGAGCAGTACATGGCCGCATGTTTCTTTAATCGAACCTCCGGCGTTGAACAAATTCTGAATGAAATTGGTTGAAGGCGGTCCAAATATCGAAGAACTAGTTGAGCTCAAGCCCACCACAAGGAAGGCTTCACAGGTCGACACGCCCACCTCGTGGATCGTCGATAATTCTGGCGGCAACTCGCTCCAAAGCCCAATCATGACAGCGATTCATTTCACGTAGACAATTGAGATTTTAGTAGGAATTTTAAGTTTAGTTTTCATTTTAATCTTAATACTTGAAAAGCCTTATATTGTTGCTCTTAAATTTGTAATCTAGTTTCCTAAAGTGTCTAAATATGTTGTGACATCCCACGTCAGTTTGAAAGGAGAATGAAGTATTCTTTAAAAGGGTGTGGAAACCTCGATTGAAGGGGGGTGAATTTGGGAGTTCCACATCGATTGAAGAAGGAAACGAATGCAAGCAAGGACACTAGGCCCCGAAGAGGGGTAAATTGTGAAATCGAGATCTCACGTCGAAAGAAAAAAATAGAAATTCAAATCCGTTCATACTCAATTTACACCTCTGTGGGCAGCTGCAGTTATGAAGAGTATAAAATCACAGTTTATGGCCAAATATTGGGAATCACAACCAAATTATATATGCCATATATGTTGCCTTCTCCAAAGACCATGAAAGGCTGCATTTTAAATTTCCATGGTGATGCTATAAAAGCCTAAATCCTTCTTCAACTTCAAAAGCGTGGCTTCCATCTCCTCGATATTCTCCTTCATACTACTGCTGCTCTTACTGGTTTGAATGCGCCACAAAGATCTTCCTCCGCTATGTCAGGTAACTAGATTCCAAGCTCTGAGGTGCTGACAGCGGCTAGCTGAAGAACCGGCGACAGGGTATTGAACATTTTAGTTTTCTGCATAAAATTACTCATTTACCGTGCCTTCGTCGAATCTGGGATGCTCTCTCTTGCCGGCGGCGCTGCATTTCTCAGGGCTACGAACAGATTTCCGGCCATCCGCCGCGGGTTTTTTTGTTCCTCATCCGATGAGTATATTAAGCTCATCGAGACGTATGGACGCGATCGAGAACTGAACTTCGGGAGGTTACTTCACGCTCGATTGATCATCAACGGACTAGCTCGTTTGACACATTTTGCTGCGAAGCTCATAGCCTTCTACGCTGCGTGTGGAAAAATCAACGATGCACGGGAAGTGTTCGACAAAATTCCCCAAACAAATCCCCGCCGGTGGATTGTCTTGATTGGGGCCTATTCTCGTTATGGGTTTTACACAGAAGCTCTGAGTGTATTTTGTGAGCTGCAGAGACAAGGCTCCAGGCCTAGCGAGTACATCATTCCCAGTGTCTTGAAAGCATGTGGTCACCTCTCCGACATCCTCACAGGGAGAAAATTGCATGCGTTAATCCTCAAATACTCATTTGAATCCGATGCTTATGTCTGCAGTGCGTTGATAGATATGTATGCAAAAAGTGGACAGGTTGAGAAGGCTCGGCGAGTGTTTGAATCAATGGCTGGGAAGGATTTGGTGGCATTGAACGCCATGGTTTCTGGCTATGCCCACCATGGACTGGCAGAGGAAGCTCTGAATCTGGTGGAGAAGATGCAAGTATTGGGTGTAAAACCCAATTTGGTGACTTGGAACACTTTGGTTACAGGCTTTTCTCAGATGGATGAGGAAGAAATGGTTCATGAGATTTTCAAAGAGATGGAAGCCAATGGGATAGAACCAGATGTAGTGTCTTGGACATCTGTGATATCTGGGTTTGTACAGAACTTCAGAAATGAGGAAGCTTTTGGAACATTTAGAAGGATGTTGAATGCTGGGCTATGCCCAACTTCTGCTACAATCAGTAGCCTTTTGCCTGCTTGTGCATCGGCGGGGAATGGGCGACGTGGGAAGGAGATTCATGGATATGCTCTGGTTCTTGGAGTTGAAAAGGATGTCTATGTGAGGACTGCCCTGGTTGATATGTATGCAAAATGTGGCTATTTTTATGAAGCAGGGATGCTATTTTGGAGGATGTCTGAAAGGAATTCAGCTACTTGGAACTCCATGATTTTTGGGTATGCAAATCATGGATATTGCAGTGAAGCAATAGAGCTTTTCCATCAGATGAAGGATAATGATGAGAAGAAACTTGATCATCTGACATTTACAGCAGTTCTCACTGCTTGCGCCCATGCTGGGATGGTTGATCTAGGGAAGAGTTTGTTCCAATTGATGCAAACTAAACATGGTATTGTTCCTAGAGTAGAGCACTATGCCTGTATGGTCGACGTATTCGGTCGGGCGGGGAAGCTGGCGGAGGCTTACGATATTATCAAGACGATGCCGGTTGAGCCAGATTTATATGTATGGGGAGCTTTATTAGGTGCATGTAGGAAGCATGGAGAAATTGAACTAGCTGAGGAAGCAGCCAAACATTTAGCAAAGTTGGAACCTGGGAGTGTTGGGAACAGCTTACTATTGTCTGATCTGTATGCTAATGCAGGCAGTTGGGGACATGTTGTGAAGCTGAAGAGTATGATGAAGAAGAGGAAGCTCAAGAAATTTCCTGGGTGCAGTTGGATAGCCACAGCTTAGGAAAACCTTTCTAAAGGACATGAAGAACAGGTCTATTATAACTGCAAACTGACATGTTCTTCGAGTTCTTCATCTTTCTTGAGGGAAAAGAGATACTAAAAGTGAAATTAAGCTGAGTGTAGGTTGTAATTCATCAGAGAGAACCCAATAAACAGAATCTAATTCATTCAATCTTTTCACAACAGACTCTAATTTAAGCATGCTCCATTGAAGATCGAAATGAGAGATTCTCAAACTTCGTTTATCATTTCAACTTTGGATTAGGAGCACATTGAAAGTAAGGCGCAATTAAAGCTTACTTGTCAGTTGTCATTTCAATCAATTATGCTGCCCTTTCGTGCTACACGAGTGGGTCGGTACAGTGCTCAGGTTAACCATCAGCATGCCTGTATGACTAAGACCGTGGCCGTGAGCTCCCATACTATATAACATCATAGGCATCATCGGAGATGGCGCATAAGTCATCGGAAAAGTAGATGGAAAATAGCCGTTTCCTTGTGAATCGGCACTGGGAGCAGAATCATGTGAGTTCTGTGTCGCCTCGTCAGTCGTTGAGGATGGTTGTGTCCTCTTCAAGTAAAGTCGATACTTCTGAAGATGACTGGCAACGTTCTCGCGAGTCAATCCCTCGACATTCATCAATCGCATAATGGCTTTGGGAGCTGCTTCTTTGAGCCCTAGATGAGAAACCACGTCCACGAACCGTTTGTGCAATTGCGGAGTCCATGCAACCCTCGGCCGCTTCAAGGTTCGAGCCAATGCCGCATCCTCGATCGAGCTCTCCCCCCGAGGCGCAGAATTTGCCTCTTTAAAACAATCAATCCTCCTCAATTTCCGCGAATCGGATCTCAACTCATCTAGATTTATCACCTCGTCCGATTCAATCATCGCGGCGTCTTCCCCCCGCGTCTGATCGTAATTAAGCTCGAAACCTCTGTATCCTTCCGATTGTCCGTCGCAAATATTCAATATCGTCGTCTTCGACGCCGACTTAACATCAGATATACTCCGATGAGGTTCCATCAAAATCCTGAACGCCGAAGCCAGTTCCTGCGATACCAGCGATTGAGAAAGAGGCGTTAATTTTTCTGCGTCGGGGAGGCCATCCTCCCACTGAAAAACTCTTTCATCGCCATTTATACAACCATTACCATCACCAAATCGGCACTCTCTCTTCTTCTCCATAACAAATTTACAGATGCAGATTCTCTTGTTCTTCGATTCCACCACAAACAGGATCAGAAATGTCAGTAATCAGCCAACCAAATCGAGAGGTATTAGCGTAACTTACTCGAATCTTGAAGTCAGCAAGGACGGTGATAAGATCGATTGATAGATTGTTCGTATCGAAGAATGTGGTTGGAAGGCGGGAAAATCAGAGAAAATGTGAGCGGAAAGGGAACACTGTCTCATAGGGAAAGAAGAAGGTCGGAACTCGGAAGGAGGCGATTCGGTGAGATATTTTTCGGACGCTGAAATATCGCTCTCTTTTCATTATCTACTTCTACTCGCTAGAATTCAGTCGTAAATGTACTCGCTACGGATTCTAGACACGTGGACTTAGTGAATCATGGCCCTCATGATTCAACGGTTGAGATTAAATGACAGCCAACCGCGTGATGGACTGACACCTGGAGCGTGCCTTACATTGGTTGACGAGCACTGGTCAAGTCAATTCTCAAAGGTAGTATAGTAATTTAAAGAACTTTAATAAAAACATTCTTGCGTTTTGTTTTTTTTTTTTTTTCCTTTAAAAAAAATACTTTTGAATTTTAAATTTTAAAATTACTTTTTGAAATTGAAATACCGCTGGGAGCCTTGACGGCGACGAAAGATCCGGTGGATCTGGACAGCGAGGATGCGGATGAGCCATGTCCACCGCCCATATCTTGCAACCTCTACTCTCTCGCCGACGAACATTTCTCGCTCCGAAACCTCTCCGGCAGAATCGTCGAAGAGAATCTCAATTTGGAGGCTCCATGCCACATCTGAGGAAACTTTGGCCTCGGAATCCGCCACACTGGTGGAGAAATCGAAGGAGATAGTGTCCGGCGTTTCCACCGTAATATCTGTTCTTCTGTTTGTCGCGTTCATCGGTTTATCGATTCTCACGATTGGGGTAAAATCAATGCTCAGATTCGAATCTCGAAGTTGAATTTCCACTGTCACTAATTTCGTTTGTATAGCTGTTGATCTCATCTGTCTAATTAGGGTATTTCCGGTCTCAGGTAATCTACATTGCTGTGACGGACTTGTTGCAGTAAAGCTAGAAGGAAAAGTTCGAGAAAGAGGAGGCGGCTAACAAGAAGAGTGGGAAAAGGAAGAAGATGAAAGCTAAAGCTGGATCGAAAGGATTCGGCCAGAAGATTGATGTTATGGATCAGAAGCAAATTCAGATGAATCTGCTTCAAATTGCCGAGTGAAGTTGTAAATTTGCTCTCATCTATCATAATCTTGGTTTTGGCCCATTATATATTAGCCTACTATATATTGTGTATCACCTCATTGCTAGGGAGAGGTTTCTACACCTATCTATCCAACCAGTGTGAGATCTTGCGAGGATGCTAACCCCAAGGGGTAGATTGTGAGATCCCACGAGGATGTGACCCCAAAGGGTAGATTGTGAGATCCCACAAGGATGCTGACCCCAAGAGGTAGATTGTGAGAACCCCCGAAGATGCTGACCCCAAGGAGTCGATTGTGAGATCCTACGAGGATGCTGACCCTAAGGGGTAGATTGTAAGATCTCACGAGGATGCTGGTCCCAAAGGGGTAGATTGTGAGATCTCACGAGGATGCTAGTCTCAAGAGAGTAGATTGTGAGATCTCACGTCAATTGAAAAGCAGAACAAACCATTTTTTGTTTCTTATAAGGATGTGAAAACCTCTCCCTAATAAAATCGTGAAGCTGGCAGCAATACATAACGGGTCAAAGCAGTGAAAGCAGACAATAGAGATTACGACTACCATTTAAATTTTAATACAAAACTTTGGGGGTTACTCTCTGTCATATCAGTTCTTTTATCTTCTATGGTCAAAATAAATAAGAATTAAAGTAGAGTTGAAGGGAAAAGAGTGATGAAAGAAGCATACTTGAGAAGAAAACTATGGCCTCAAAATAATCTAACATAAACACAGCTCTTCTTCACATGGCAACATTTTTGTACAGTCACGCTAAAACATATAGATAAAAAAGAAAAAACTACCTCAACATTTTTAAAAGTCATTTACATGCCCTTAAGGAAAAAAGAAAAAACTAAGTATAGGCAGGCAGCCATTTTTTTTTTTTTTTTAATCTCGTCCGCAGCAATCGGGTGCCATTCAACATCGGTACCACGAAATTGATCGATTTCTACGTATAAAGCAGCTTAAAACTACAAATGTACAGGCTTCCTTCCAAAGTACAAACAAACAACTTGCTTTATTTTCAATCAGCTCATACCTGTCTTCATAGAGAGGTTGAGGTTGAGGTTGAGGTTGAGCTACTGCTCTAGATGATAAAACGGAAAAGAGTGGAAAGAGACGATGAAGCTCGCTCGATCTGGCGGTTGCTTCGGTTAGCTGTACACATTTTCTTTCCTATGTCACCAAAGAAGAGTGTGGAGAAGACTGAGCTGCAATTCTCCTTTCTGCAATTAATTCATACGGAGATGTTTTGTCAACGATTTGAACATGTCCGAAACGAGTTGTTCGTTAAAGATGATGAGAATGAATGTAGGTATATACCTCCAGCGGCGACAAGTTTCTCTACGCGGGCAACAATGTGCTTCCCGTAAGTATATTTCTTCAGCGCATTGAGATGAACTTTGATTCGAGAGAGAATCAACTCGCGCTGTTGGTCGTCACAAGTCTCGAGTACTTTCTGGACGACATAGTTTGCAAATTGATCTTTCATCATTGCCTGCATAAGATTCAATAACAGATGAAAAGGATTCACATTCAGGAGAAGATGTATGACTTGTAAGAATTCAAATCCAGTTTCGTACTCAATTGGACATGGTCGTTCGTGAGCGGACGATAGAGAGATTATCAGTGTACAAGAAACAAATGTTCACAAACCTGAAGGGGCTCATTTTCATCCGTAGTTCCAAGCATTTCGCTCACCAATAGCTGGCGTTCTGTTGGACCGCCAAAGGTTAGGCATTTCTCGACGACGTTAGAGGCAAACTTCTGCTGACTCATTTGAACGATTCTACCGGCCAATTCTTTGATAATTGCAGAACGCTCATGAGGTTTGCCATGCTCCAAGACATGCTGTTGAGGAGGAGAATCAAACAAAGAAAGTAATTAGCGAAGGGGAATATCGAGTATCTCCAAATACCGATAGGATGATACAAACTAAAACGTTCAGACTATCTTGAACTTTTTTCGCACGTCGAGCAAGCACTCCAAAAGATTAAAATCAAAGAGTTTAAATTACACATTATCCATCTAAATAGAAGTAAATGGAGCATAAATTGAATTATCAATGCTTTGAAAGAGTTCGTCTAAGAAGCATGAACCTGAACAACATAATTTCCATACTGATCTTGTGCCAATATACTAACAGATCCTAGAATTTCCTCCATAACTCGACTCTGAGTATTTTCGTCCTTGCAGTGCTCAAGAACTCTCTGTCACGGTGTAAATGCATCAGCAAGATATTACAAGTCAAATCCGCTCGATGTAGTTAAGAAAATAAACCATTTAAAAAGCACCTGTATTACACGACACCCGTAGGGGTGAGTTGAGAGCGTCACAACTTGATCAAAAAATGTCGAAACTATAAAATGGATTGCTGATTCTGGGACACATTCTATACACTTTTGTATAACATGATTTCCATTCTGATCGCGTACACAACGCATGACGTGTCCATCAAGCTCTCCGACCATTTTAATCTTTTGGTCCAGGTCTACTACTTCAATTGCCTGAACAATTGAGTTGGCATATATTTATGTGACAACCATCAGTAAATCATGCAATCTCATTACGAATGAGTATTACAAATATCAGAGTTAGTCACATTGTGAATAGCAACCGATAATGAACGAGCATAGTCGAACTTCATCATGGCTTGATTCAAATATTTTCTTTTCAGAGTGGATAATTTAGCTACTCTTTAGTGACCGTATCACCAAGCCGACATGTCTCTGTCTCTCACGGAAACACATATGTGTTGCACCACAAAGAATGTACAAGAGGAGGAAGAGGATTAGAGTCCAAACCCAACCTAAGACAAGGGAGACTACTACCAAAAGCCTCCACACCAGACTCAAAGTGTGTTTATCACTGCAAGTATTAACATTTACATAGATCATTACGAAAACATAAACTTTCATTAGCTGATTTAACTGCAACCATACTAGAATGTTGCTCAATAAACTCTTCAGGTCTATAAGAAGGCAGATTTGATGTTGAACTAAAGTAACTGAAAATGTTTTAAGGAGGATATTGGATTCAATAGTTGAAAGAAAATAAAACAGGCACCGTGTTCAGAAGATAATAAGGATTCGAGCTTAAGATAAGCAGTACCTTCTGGATCACTCGACAACCATACATCTGAAGGCTCAGTGTAAGTATGTGACCGAAAAGCTTATTGGCTAATTCTCTTCTCTGTACTGCAAGTCCATGCTCGAAGAACTGCGAATGTACTCTGGTGATTAGCATATAAAACCAAAGAAAATAACAACAATTATCATTCAAAAAGGACTAATTACCTTCTGAATCACATAATTACCAAAGACATCAGTCATCAGAGCAAGAGCTTGCGGCATAATTTCCTGATAAATCATATTTTTCTCATCAGCAGTAGCTGTTTCGAGTTTTTGTTGAATGAATCGGCTCCCATATTGATCCCCACTGCTCATAAAAAAGTAACGGAAGACGATAAGAAACTACTTTAGGATGGATTATGGTGATAAACCACATATAATCAGTTCAACAAGCAAGATATATACATACCTGAATTCAAACACATGACCAGCAATTTCAGAAAGTTCGAAACATTTCGTCTTATTACTCTTGAACTCCTCAAGAAGAGAGGACGAAAAGCTTTCGTTGATATTTCCAACGTCCAGATGCCAAGGACCCATAACACCACCTAGGCTCCTCGTACCAGAAGGATAGCGCAAATGAAGATCATTGTGCCTGATAGGACTACCAGGTCCTACAGGCGAGTTAGAAAGGACAGGACTACCCATAGGACTTCCGGGATACGACATGTGAACTCCAAAAGCTGGATTACCATAATAACCATGATGATTTGAAATACTAGATTTACCACTGAATGGGACACTGTACTGTGATTTTTGAGGTGATAGAAGAGACCCCACGTAAGCCTTCTGCAATTCTAGCTGATTCATATATGAATTGCCCAGATAATTTGTATCAAGAGAAGGATCATTTAAAGCACCAAGTTGTGCTGCAGCATATTCAGATGTCCTCAAGTATTGAAGATAAACGGGATCAACAAAGGATGCCTGAAGA